ACTCAGAGGTGGCGGTTAGGAGTCACTCGACTGTGGGGGGAAGCCAGAGGGAAGACATGGCCTGTCAGGAGTTCAGCTGGGGTGAACACTCATCACCTTGATGACATTTTATCACTGCTGGGGAGTGCATACCTCTCTCTAGACCTGAGTCATGCCACCCGCCATTCCGAGGAGTAGAACTAGCACATTGCTCTAACCGCTGGTTTTACAGGAAGCCTCACAGTTCCGTAACAGTGGAACAAAAGGGGCACAGGAAATGACACTCCAGATAAACTGGCTTAAACTACCAACTTTTTTCTTTTATGTGCATGGGTGTTTTGCGTACATGTAAGTCTCTGTACCACATGAGTGCCTGGTGCTGCAGAGACCAGAAGAGGGAGTCGGATCTGAACTGACAGAACTGTCATGAGCTGCCATGTGTGTGCTGGAAGTCAAATGTGGGTCCTTGGTGAGAGCAACCTGTGTTCCTAACTCTGCTACCTCCCCAGAGCCCTTAAAGTACCAATTACTTTACACCCAATAATCCGCTTCACTCTTCCAACCTCCAACAAATTGTACCTGGCTCTCCACCTAAGTTGACCTTGTTCTTCTCTGATGCCACCTTTCCCTCGTGAACATTCAGGAAGGGACATAGGCTTTGGCCATGGACTGTATCCTTAGAAAGAATATGGACACCTCCTAGAGGAACGTGAACGGAGAGTAAAGCCCCGCCTTCTTATGTGCACCCCATGTTGCACAGGCAAGCCCAGATTCTCACGACTCAGTTACCCGACTTCCTTGAGATGGCCTTCATTGTTAATAATCCCTGAGTTCAAAGGTCTGTCCTTGATTTACTAGACAGCAGACAATGCTGTGCTGGTCATGTTTTTGCCAAGGACAGAGCAAGAGAGGATGGCCTTAATTAGAAAGAAGAGTCAGAGACGGGACTTCCTGACCTTGAACAGGCTGGGGATACCCCAGGCCCCTGGAAGGGAGACCCAATCACCTCTACTAGCACTAACAGAGTGGTTCTACCTAGCACACATCCAGGAATGAGCCTCTTAAGACCCTTTGAGGAAGGTGCTTCGGCTCAGGAGACGGCTTCACTTCACCAGGAAGCAGCCTGTGCTGCAGCCTCAGGACAAGCTTGTAGCTGGATTCTATTTCCCCAGTGACAGAAGCATAGCCAGGTCCCCCTGGCTGGTTGCCCTCAGCAGATAATTTATGCATGCTGTTCTGCTCTTCGAGAGAGTTCCTTAAATAGTGAGGAAAGCAGCTTGTGAATTCAGTGGGGCATCCAGCCCACACTGCTCCAGAGGGGAGGAAGGGAGGCTGCCTTCACACCATCTCTGCTGTCGCCTTTAAGGCTCACGGGGACACCCCTGAGAGCTGGCAGCCAAACACTGAAGCCCAAGCTCCTGTTTCACTCTGGTAAATCCCACTAGGGAAGAGTTTCTGGTTTCACTCTCAGCCTTTATTCCTAGTCAAGCAGACAAGGGAGGAGAGGGGGGCCAGCCCCAGGGAAACACAGCAGAGAGGCTCCATCCTTGGCATGATGAGCTGTACTCAGATGAGATCCCATTGGATAAAGCTAGAGAAGGACCCCAGCCCGAGGCCAGGGAGATGCACCATGCTCATCACCTGGCTCTAGAGATGGTGGGGTAGGAGAGGTATCCACAGCACTGTGTCAGCCTTGAGTTACTCACACCCAGCAGGCACCTCCACCGTACATGTCGAACTCCCCAGCAAACCTGAGTGGCTGCCAGCTCTCTTCAGAGAAGCGGGATGTGGGCTTTCTCTGGCCTCCCACCTTCATGGTGCTGTAGAAACTAGCAAGAACACATGTGGGCTTGTGCAAGCATGAACTCATCTGCTAAAGCCCACAGTCCACCTGCCTGCCATGCTGGACTTCAAGCCAAATTTAACTCCACCTGCTCCTTGAGATGTGTGTGCCCCTTGGCAGTCACTTGACTGAGAACCTTAATCGTCGGCATCCCCTGGAACTCCAGCCAGTGGCTTCCCTTTTCAAGCGTGTCCAGACTGTAAGCACCCTCACCAAGAATTGTAGGGGCCCTGAAGCTGTGGCTGCACTGTGGCTCATACTTATCAATAAGCAAACCTCACCCAGGTGTCAGGGGGAACTGTGCCTTTCCAGACTTGGAAGAAGTCTCCATCCCTCAGGGCTTCCTTCCCCCAACAAGCTTGTCCTGTCTTCTCTCTTACCCAGCCAAGCTTAAGTGATGGTGAACACTGGTTTGTCTCACAACAGTCACCAGCTGTGACCCTTCTCAGGTGACTTGGGCCTTGTATGATATTCTTTAAACATCCATAATCTGGGCTCTAAGAAAAATATTGTTTATTGTATGTATGGTGTGTGTTTTGTATGTATGCACATGTGTATTTGGGTGCATTCCACATGTGCACATGCACACAGATGCCATAGGCCAACATTAATTGTCTTTCACAAATTCTCTCCACCTTGTATTTTGAGATAAGGTCTCTCACTGAGCCTTGAGCTCACCATCAGCTAGACTGATGAGTCAGTAAGCTCCAGGGATCTGCCCATCTCTGTCCCTAACACCGAGGTGTCAGAAGCATGTTTTTCTTCTTACATGGCTGCCAGCAACACTTAATAAAAACAGCTTTGGGATGTCACTGTGATATGCAGAGCCTCAGCAATGGAATGGGATCAGCAAGTCATGGGGACAAAAGCCAAATGAGCTATAAACGAGAAATAAAAGAGAAATGCCAGGCAGACAATCCCAGGAGATTCTGTTCCTCTGAATCCATAGCTGGGGAGAATCTGTGTATATCGTGCAGATGGAGTTTAGGTATCCCAAAATGTGAAAACTGGAACATCATTGCAATGGCTTCTGAATGGGCTCCCCACCTCCATCCAACTGCTGCACACTGCCATCCTGCCAGATAGCCACCTAGTTTTGGCATGCCCATGTCCTGTATTGTGTGTGATTCAGGACCCACCTCTACTCAAGTCCACTCTGCCCCACTGAGCAGATGAGTTCCCTCCCAGTCCCCCATCACACCCTCTAGTCTCTTAGTTGTTATGCCTTCTATCTTTTTAGTAATGTTTAAAAACTAAATTCATGTGGTCAAACCTGAATCTTGCATTGTAGCGCCCCCTCCTTTACCTGTGTTAAGGTCTCAATAGATGCATAGTCCACTGAACAATAACTCCTCATTAATGGGGGAGGTGGGAGTGTGTATTATGAAGAGGAGTGTCTCAGCCTGCTAGAAGGAGATGCCCGCATCTTCTAGCTACTAGAAGAGATGACAGACAGGTATGAAGATAGCCTAAGCCACAAGAAACCCTGGCAGAATTTTTTTGTTGTTGTTGTTATTTTAGGACAGGTGCCCCTGTCCTATATTGAGGTTTAATAAGGATCAGAAGAAACAGATAGGCCGAATAGATGTTTATTCAGGGAGAAATAACTCACACATAGACAGATGAACACCAGCAGGTTCTTGGTCCCAAGGATGCCTCCAGATGTTCTCCTGTTCCTGTACTGCAAGCAAGAGAGCTCCTGGAGCCCCTTCCTCAGACATAGTTCCCCCAGGTAACATCTGCCCCTGTCCCCACCCCAATGGGCATGGTCTGTGCCACAGGTGCGGACAAAGGGAATATCTCACTACAGTCCTAAACAAATCCAGACCCACTGTCCTCAAACCTATTGTCTAATTGACACTTTGCACTGTCATCTTGGTTCTGGCCCAGAGGAATCATTGGAGATAATCAGAGGAGGTGAAAGATGTGTGAGCATAGTGCCTGGTTCCATGCAGAAGGTTCCACGTCCTGATGGATTGTTAAGCTGAAGAGGGCTGGTGTGTAAAAAATGAGCAGAGTAGGGCATTGAAGGGTGAAACTCTCTTCCCTACCAAGTGTCCTCAGTGAGTCCTCAGGACGCAGCCATTCCCCTTCTTGTGACTGATTCCTGGAAGGTAAAAATGTGGAAAGGAAAGGAACCCATAGTTCCTATCAGCATGAAAATAAATGCTTACCCTCTACCCCCAGCACCCTCTCTTTTGGGAAAAAATACTGCCCATGCTAGATTGTGTCTTGATGTTGGGAAACTGTTTTCTCTGAATAGAAACAGTTCCTCCTGGAAGGAGCCTTGGGAATTTGTCTGAAGTTAGAAGTCTCAGGACACTCAGAAAGTTAAGAGAGTCCCAAGGCCCTTTCCAAGGTTATGAAAGCAGTAAACAGTTGCTCAGGGGAGGCTCTTCCATGGAGCTGCCTGGGTAGGGACTGCAAAGGATGCAGTTTTCATGCATCATCATCCATCACCCATGCCGGGATGGGCTTTTTTGGTGATGCCACTACCATGGAGTGACTCATGCTACTGTTAAGTAACCCCAGCAAACTCATTGGCTCACCAAGCCAATGGGTGGGCCCATTTCCTTAATCTGTCATCTGTGCCATATCTGGGTTAGATAAATGCTTGTTCATGTCCCTCCAGGAAGAGTCACAAGACACCTGGGGAAGCATTCGTGCTGGTATCTGGTCCCTGCTGATGTGATCTCCAATTGTTCTGAGCATATCTCAAGGGGGGGGGTGTCCAACTGGTTCCTCATTGTGACAGGAAATCATATTAAAGTCAACAAGCGAATGTACCCAACAGACTAACACAAAGAATGAGAAACCCTTAGAAACGTGAAAGGTTGTAGGTGCCATTTAGCCTTCCCTCAGCTAAAGCCTTGCTGTGCGCTCCGAGCTGGAGAGCCAAAACAGAGGTATCAGAGCTTTGAGGAGTGCAAGGAGACGTCTAAGGATTCTCATCTCCATTTGTCTGCTTATCCAGGCCTTATTCCTCAGCACACTCACATGTGACTTTTCCCAATACGACTCCCTGTCACAACAAGGAGCCAGCTCTATTTCTCAGTCCTGGAGGTAGCATCCTAGGCAGAGAGAGTTGCAAGTTCCCAATGAATGGCAATATGTTTCATGCCACATTTAATGGTGAGCCCCCATATATCCTCTGACTAATGGAGCCCTCTCTCCACAGGCACAGAGGACACACAAGAAGGTCCCCAAGTGCAGGAGAGTGCACCACCACTCTGAGAAGCCTCATTCCACTCCATCAACAGCCATTGACACACCAAGCACAGCACAGGGCAGCAGTCACACAGCCCTACGGAGCAGCCCGTTCCTGGGGTCTAGCCAGGTGGCCCTGCTTCCCAGGAACAAGCAGGGGTGTGCCCCACAGTCAAGCACCTCCAACCCTGCCTGCTCCTTCCAGAGGAGCAAGTCTTTGTTTTGTTTGCCCAGTGGAGGCCCCTCCCCAACTGAAGCACAGCCACTACTGACTGGTGCTCAGAGACACAGTGCATCCGAGTGGCGGCCCAGCAACCTCCTGTCCATTGATGACTTAGAGGGGGCCCAGGAGACAGATGTGGACACAGGCCTGCAGCTGTCCTCCTCAGACCTGTCTGTGGTCTCCGCATATTCTGCACCCAGTAGGTTTTGCAACACTGTGGAGTCATCATCTCTCCCATCCAAGAGATGTAGCAGCCACTGGCCAGCACCCAAGAGTCCCGAGGAAGGACCACTGGCTGCTGCCAGTGAGGTGAGCCCAGACACCTCCTGCGATTCCCACCCTGTCTTCACCAAAGGCTCTCCCAGCCCCTCACAAATAACTACTGCTGCTCTCTCAGCTTCTGGTGTCTCCTTGCTCACAGAGTCATCCCCACAACTCCCTTGTGAGGACTCTAAAGCCACACAGGGTGGTCAAGATGTGCTATTGCCTGCAGCAACAGTCGGCCCGGAGGATAATGACATGGAGGAGTTCTACATCTGAGCATGTCTTTGTTTTCAGACAGACTCAGTCACAGAAACTCGGGCACCACAGCCCATTGCCCTTGGTTCACAGGGTGATCTCCGTCCCATTTGCCAACTCTGACAAAAACCTAATTATCTGTCTTGGGAGATCATTAACATGTTAGCCATGCTGCCTATCCTTAACTGAATGGTGACATATTTTTAAAGGCTCAGAAAAAAAGAGAAAAAAAGCTGACATTTATATGCAAATAAATTTTCAACACACTTAAATAATAAAATCTATTTAATCTATTTTAAATGCTCAATTATACAATTTAATGCTTCATATAATTATTTGAAAAAAAAAAACATACTCAAGCTAGAGTTGACTTGACAGTTGTTCATACTGTAAAACTAAAATTACTGAAGCCAAAATTTTAAACAGGAAAAGGACACCAAGGGACTCCTTCCTATCAGAGCTCAGTGTGAAGCAGAGAATGCATGCCTTCCTGGTTCCCCACAGAGAATCACACAAGGACCCTGGAATCCTGATGTCCTGCTCCCAGTGGGTGTGGTAGCTTCATAGGACAGCTGTCAACCTCCATCTGCCAGCAGACTGCCTTGCTCTGAGCCATTCAGCACTTGAACATCTGGGTTTACACACAACTGGCTAATAAGCCTTGTAAGGATTTAGCACAAGTAACCAATGCCTTGCACACTTTACAAAATACTCTGAGTCATGACACCTAGTTTTGCACACTCTTCCACAGCTGGTTTATGGGAGTAAGCAAATCTGTAGACCATCCCCTCTGGACTGGTTGGTGTAAAAGGACTCATTGCCTGCAGTTGCAAGGAACGGGTTATAAAGCATGTTAAGGAATTACGTGTGAGATTCACTGACTTTTAAAAGCACACTCTTAAGGGCTGCATATGCCTCTCTCCACAAATGACCAGAGCCATCTTTTGTAGCGCTGTCTCCCATAAACATTTTTGGCTGGCCTTTTGATTGTATGGGTGAGCAAATGCCCCACTCCCTAAAGCAGGAAACTCCATGCAGTGCTGCCCCACACAGCCAACCCCCAGTGCACAGAAGCCTTAGGGAAAGCAGCGCTGCAGCCACTCTAGCTTTTCCATCTGTTGTCCCTTACCACCACTGTGTGAATGGTGGTTAGACCTCCTGGTGAGGCTCTGTCTACAACCCACCCTCACCAATGCCAAGTGCTGGCATTGGTGGCAATGCCAAACTGTCCCTACACTCTATTTGTCCTTGGGAAAGAAAAGCTTGGGTATGGACTGTTGCCTGCCCAGCGCGGTGCTTCTTGCCTAAATTACTCATGGCCGAGTTTTTTCTCTGGAAGGACCTATACCAGCTCAGACGCAGCTTCAGACACTTTCCAGCCTTCAGGCTCTCTTGTCATCCATCAGCATCCATCAGCATCGGGTTTGCCATCACCACAAGGAGAGCCTGAGATTCTGCCTTGCTCTGACTTCTAGGACTCTGAATTCTGCTCCAGTGTATATAAATAAAAACATGGTCTCTTCTAATTCCAACTTCTGAAAAGGGCTAGATAATAAATATTTTAAACTTTTGTCAATCATGTTTTAAACTTTATCTAAATATGTTGCTATTGCTTCTATTGTAGCATGAAAAATAAAATATATAATGAATGGTTGGAAGTGGCTGAATTGCAATCAAACTTCATTTCTAACAACAGGTTACAGCCAGTATTGGCTCAAGCGGCAGTTGGGGAGCCCCCAAAATAGATGACTGTGGACAATTGATTCCAGCTGGCCATCAGCTTAGACTTTTCAATCCTATGCTGCCACTGCCGGCACTGCTGCCATTGCTGGTATGAGGGACACAAAGAAACTTGGCTTCTCAGAGTCATAGGCTCGGAATGCAAGGAGAAGCTTTTCCACCAAGCTGATTCCCAGTGCATCCCTGCAGCCCACCCCCAGCTCAGAAATGTGGCTGATAGCATCAAACAGATACATCAGAAAGGAGCAAGAATAACTCTGGGGTCATGGCAGGCCTCTAAGGACAGGAAGCCAGTGCATCGCTGCCAAATGAAAGCGTGTGCCCTACATCCCTATAATGGCTTCTGTCTTTGTTCTCCACGGTACTGCTGTTTTGGTATACTTGCCCCCGAGGATTGTTTGAGCCCCACTCCAATATCAGCATGAGAGATGTCTCCTCACCATCCTGTCTACCAAACGGTGATCCCAAAACGATGTTAGAGAGACTACATAGAAGAAAGGCTTGTGAATGCCACCCTTCTGATTCAGCCCACTCCCAGGCTCCCCTGGGAGTCTACAGAGGGGTCACAGGCACAGCTTCATTCTGTAAAAGCTTGGCTGTGCTAACTAGTGCCTCCCTCCTGACGTCCACCAGCCCGGTCCTGATTTTTAGAGTTGTACCTTATGATACATACTGGAATCCAATAGGTGACAAATTTGTTCAACTGAAAAATATTGAGTCATCACATAAGCTATTTCTCTTTTAAATTAGTCTCAATGATATAGAGAGTATTCATTTTATTCCTTGATTTATGTTGTCTAGTAAGACTCAATCTCTTGTCTCCTTAACCTTAAACCACCCCACTCCTAGCAAAGGGCTGGCGAGTGAATGCCTTGTTACATTCCATTCCTTATTTGCCTTGATTTTTAGTTACTGTTCAGGGTGTCACTTTATTCTACACTAAGCACTACCTAGTGACTTGCTTTAGACATCAAATATTTCTCATTGTGTCCCCAACTGAACTGACAAACTACAAAAATCACCTTGAGTTGTGTGAGTTGCTTAAATATGTATCAGGGTGACTCATGGGGGCAAGGATGACCCTTTTATGGCAGAGGGAGGGGTGATACTTGTTGAAATAAGCTGGCTTTAGTGCTGGTGTTACTTGAGTCTCAAGGCCCAAAAAGCAGGGCCATCATAGCCAGATTCCTCCATCTAGAGTGCCCCAGAAGAGCCTATGTCTATTTTTAACCAAGAATGCCTTCAGTACATGGCTGATGTTCTTTTTCCCTGGAAAAACAGGAGAAATGTCTGTTTTTCTATCCCCTTCTTTGTGTAATGATGAATTCTCTAGTCTGCCTGCTATCAGACACCTGAGCAGACACACAGAAATACAGAAAAAAGAAATTTAGAGCAAATCAAATCAACCATGGAGGGCAGTAGGCACAGCTCAATGGTACCCACTCACCTGGTATACATGGGGCACTGGGGTCAATCCCAGCATCAAAAAACAAAACAAGGGAGGCATGGCTCAGTGGTTAAGAGCATTCGTCCCTCTTTCAGAGGACATGGGTTTGGTTCCCAGCACTCACATGGTAGCTCAAAACCACCTAGGGCATCAGAATCCCTCTCCTGGCCTTCATAGACACCAGGTACATATGTGGTATGCATACATACATACATACACACAGGCAAAACACTCATGCACATAAATAAATCTAAAAATAATAAACATTCAAACAAACCATGGAATGATCCTCCATTGCACACCGGGACTACAGCACCAACAACAGTCCTGCTGGTAAACTCCAAGGGAGCTCTGGGAGTGTGCACAGCAGGCCCTCCCGCACCCCAGCCGCCCCCTCCCCCACCCCTGCCCCATTGCTTCCTGTGTCTGCTCATTGCTGTGTTCCACCTCTCCTGTGTCCCCTGGAAATGCTCAAGAGAATAACAGGCGAAGCTAATGTTGGAAAAAAATTATCAGGGGAAATACACTTTGTCACCATTAATTGTTGCAACAAATGGATTTAGGAAGGGTCAGGAAACTGAATATAAAAATTATATATCAGCATATTGTTCCAGTTTTTACCAAAGGCTTCTTCTCGTTTGGGGACATAGAAGGCTAGTTACAAAATGGCTCTAAATGCCATAGTCCCTCCTAGTAAATAACGCAGGCAAACAACAAGCAGTAGCATTGGCACCCTCTTCAGTGAGAGCTCCAGTCACTTTTCTTTTGTAGAGGTGGCATGCCGCTACCAGAAGTAATATATTTCTTTCAGACAGGCGCTCAAGGAACAGTTGGTGACCATGAAAGTTCTCTACCTGGTGGCCCCTACCCTCCCTGAATGTTCCACTTGGGACTGTCTTAGTAGCATTCTATTACTGTAATAACCATGACGACCAAAAGCAACCTGGGAGGAAAGGGATTATTTGGCTTATGCATTCCAATCATAGCCCATCATAAAGAGACCTCAAGGTAGCAACCCAAGGCAGGAACCTGGAGGCGGGAGCTGACGCAGAGGCCATGGAGAGCTGCCGCTTACTGCCTTGCTCTCCACTGCTTACTCAACCTGCTCTCTTATACCACCCACGGCCCACAGTGGGCTGAGCCCTCCTACATTAATCATTAATCGTTAATCAAGGAAATGTCCCACAGACTTGCCTTCGGGCATCTGATGGAGGTTTCTCACAGAGGTTTTTCCCACTTCCCAAGTGACACTGGAATGTGTGACACTGACAAAAAGCTAACCAGAACAGGGACAAAGCCCCACCTCCAGGTGCCTGAACTAGCCCCCTCCCATCAACTCCATTCCTTTGGGAATATCTGTGACAAAAACCATATACATTTTGTGTCTGGCAGAAACCTGGAGCCCCCTTAAGTCATATGTGCCCTGAGCGCAGAGCTGCTGGACAGCCTGCTAGAAATGGCCCCTGCAGGTCTGCAGGAGACACAGGCCATGGGGCCTCCCTGAAGGAGGGCTCTGGTGCCACCTGGAGGCCACCGCTACCAAACACGGCAGACCCAGAGCCCCTTTCAAGCAAGATGATTTCATCTATCAGAAAAAGGAGAAGGCATTTCTCTTCCATGTATTATTCTCAGGTTCACTTTCTATTTTGTTTTACTATAAAGTACTGGGACAAGTTAAACTATGTAAATAGAAATGTAAAGTCAGAAAACAGCTAAAATTATACAATGGGGCAAAGACAGCATCTTCAACAAATGGTGCTGGCACAATTGGATGAGGGTGTGTAGAAGACTGCAGATAGACCCATGTCTGTCGCCATGCACAAAACTCAAGTCCAAATGGATCAAAGACCTCAACATCAATCCAGCCACATTGAACCTCTTAGAAGAGAAAGTAGGAGGTACCCTTGAACAAATTGGTATAGGAGACCGCTTCTTGAACATAACTCCAGGGGCACAGACACTGAAAGAAACAATTAATAAATGGGACCTCTTCAAACTTAGAAGCTTCTGTAAGGCAAAGGACACAGTTGACAAGACCAAATGGCAGCCCACTGAC